ATGTTTCTTCGGCATGGTCGCCTTCAGTCATCACCTTACGCAGGAAATCTTTCTGAGGATGAACGTTTACTTGCAGTCTCCATGTGGCTTAGACCTGTGTCCCCTCTTATTTCTTCTCATTTTTCTTCTTTCTTGCTTCAAAAATCCTCTGATCTTCAGCTTCTTTCTTGTCAGATTACCCGTTCCTCCTTCACGTTTTATCTACGCGTCGTTCTTTCACCCGCTCCTCTGTTTCTCTTTCATTTTTTCAAGACCTAATCTCTCTCTCTCTCTCTCTCTCTCTCCCTCCCTCCCTCCCTCCTCCTCCGAAGGAAGAAGAAGGTTGATACATCCAAATGGCGCCGTTTGTGGTAAGAAGTGGCTAGGCTTGAGCTGGGTTTTCTCAGTTGGGCCGAGTTGTTTTTTATTTGGGCCATCTGAAGCTGGGATATTTTCTTCCAGACCAATTTTTATGAGGCTTTGGGCCCAGTTCTAGAGAGGGAGTGGGGTGTGGTTTGAATAATTTGGGTTTTAAGATCTGAATGGTTAGATTTTAGAATTTTATGGGACCATTTTGTTTTCCTTCTCCAATTCTTTTTTCTTCATTGTTCTTTTCCTTTTCCATTTTCCTTTTTTAGACAACATAATAAAAACAATAAATAATCGTAATGAAAATAATAATTACAACCATAGTAACAACTCGAGTAAATGAAAGTTATTATTTCATTCCTTCATGTTTGTTCTTCAATCAGTTTTAATCAATTAGGAATAAGGATATAATAACTCTTTACTATTAGTGATACTTTGTTATCAATAGCTCACACCACATTGTTAATCCAAGTAAGTATTGATTGCAATGTCATCTCTTATCCTCTACCTTGAACTCTTTTTTAAAAACTTTTTACTATGAAGGATGTTTTGCCAACAATGGTTTAAAAAACAAGTAAGGAGTTGGTAGACGGAAAAAAAATTAAGTAAACAATAAATATTGTAATATCCACCTAAGAAAAAAAAATAAAATTTGGAGTTTTGATGTAAATGAAAGAAATTTTTAAATTTTGAGGCTTTTAATTAATTTCACAGACCTTAATAAAAATATGTAAGAAAAAGGGGGGCAAAAACATAAATAGGGAGAAGTGGAAGGGGGCAAAAGAAATCAAAAAAATAGATGGCCCAGATCGAACCACTTGAGAGATCGGATGGAGAGATTTTAAAAGAGAACGGATGCCCCAGATCTAGTCAGTGAGATACGACGGTTAGGACGAATGGGTATAAAAAGGAAAAGTCAGAGTTTTTCTTCATTGTGAGGGCAGCCAAAAAAGAGAGAAGAGCGATCAAGGAGAGAAGGAAGAAGAGAGGATCGAGTGGGGAAGTTGAGAGAGAAGAAAGAATGAGAGAAAAGGAAGAGGGAGGCCAGAGAAGGAGAAAATGGAGAAAAAAAAAAGAGTGGTCGAGCAGAAAAGGGAAAAGAGAAGATTGTCGTGCGGGGGAGCCGAGAAGAAGAAAGAAGGAGAGGAAAGGATGAGG